AGCCTCCCTCCTGTCACCATCCAGCCTGTCCCGGGTCGAGTCTTTGGGACTTCTTTGCAAGGTGTTGGATCACCTCTGCCTTTCCCCCCTATAGCGGGCGAACAGCCTCCCACAGGCATCCGGCCCCGGCCCAAGCGTGGGGGCGGCAGAGTCGGAGGACGCCTGACGGGCTCGGGGCTGCTGGTGGCAAGCCACGGGCCGCAATCGCCGCACACGCAGCCACGCTCGGAGCCACCCGTGCTCGCTTCACAGCCTGCCCTGCCGTCGCGCCGGAGGCAAATGGTTGATTTCTAAATCCGCCCGCGTCCGCGGCCAAGACCGGGCAGGTCCGACACCCGCCAAGCCGCAGAGCTGAAACGCTCCCAGTGAACTAGCCGAGGCCCGGCCGCATCCTCCAGCTAGAGGACGCGCTGGGGCTTGTTGGTTTGGCTGGCGACCCAGGAGTCGAGCCCGTCACCCCGGTCGCCCTTCCCCTTTCCTCCCCTCGGACCGCGCCAGCCTCGAGGACTCCTCCCCGGGGCTGAGTCCGCGGGCAGCGGACACTGGGCGGCCTAAAAGGGCCCTGGACTGGGGGCGGCCCTCAGGTGAAGGAGGTGGGCGCGTGGGCCACGGGATCCCGACACCTTCCGGAGACTGGACCGAGGGCTGGGGCTGGCTTCCAGAACCGGCAGCAGGTTCTGGGGACACTTTGTCGGGAAGCGAAATGGCAGGCATGTGCCCAGTTCACCGAAACGAGTGCAGAATCGGGCAGTAGACCTAGGGGGTCGGGAAGCAGGTGGCCCGATGTGGGCGGGCATCTCTATTTCCACAAACAAAGGAACAGGGCAGCTCACCCCGGAACTAGGGGGTGGTGGGAAGACTGCTAAAAGAATCGCCGACAATTTCCTTCATAAAAATGCGATCTGAGAGCATTTGATTTCCACTTTCACTCCCCCTCGCCCTCCGCTCCGACACACGCACTGTCTCCAAAGACACTCAAATTGCAGCCATATGGGGCTAAAGTAATAGGAAGCAGTTACCTTATTTACTGAAGTGGCAGCGCACTCAAACTTGACAGCCGCAGCCAGGACCATGGGGCAATGAAATTAAGAGCAGAAGGTTCTTGCTCTTTGAAACTTTGTTTTGTTTACACCCAGGGGTGCACGCGGGGAAAAGTTATCTGACTTTGAAAGATAAAAGAGGTTGTGTGGAGGAAAGAAGGGAGGTGGTGAGAATTGAGTGATGAGGAAGGCAGGTCCAACAAGAAAGGTGGGGAGCCTGGTTCCTTCTTACCTTGGTTTCTAAGTGTCACCGGCTGATTACTTTGAAAGAAGGGGTAGGGACTCTGCGGGAAGGATGCCTCTACCCACCCCCAATGCTAGCAACCTCCATGGCAGGTACAGGCAACCTCCCTCACCAACCAAGGAGGCCCCAGCTCTGGGTTGCACCAAGACTACAAGCCCATTTCTCAGACTTCTCACTTAGTCTCCAAACTGTCGGGGCGTCGAGGTCACTCAGTGGCCAGTGTTCACACTCTCTCCAATCCTGCTGTCTTGCAAACAGATGGCAGCGGTGCGCTAGTCAGGAGTGAGACACCCCCCATCACCAAACCTGGGGTTTATCTCCCCACACCGCGGGACTGAGTTTCTCTGCAGCGGACAAGAACGGGGCTTGGTCTGATTGTCCTCAGGTTATTCTATGCCTCTCCTTTTCTTCAGGATCGAGTTCCACATTTGCTGTGGGCGCTGTAGGAACCCCCGACGTTTGCAAACTCAGACACCTCCAAAGCGCTAATTTTGTTCAGGAACAAGTGTTTTCACAACCAGGCATAAAGACAGGCAGAAAAATGCGGGAAAGCAAAAAAAAAAAAAAAAATTACTAAATATCCTCTGGAGGAGGGGCCGTGCACAACAGCGCCAGGGTTTTCATTTCCCACTTGAAGCTTCGGAGGCACTTAAGCAAAGAAGAAAGAAAAGGGAGTGAGAGAGGTACGAAGGAAGAAAGAAAGGAAAGAAGGAAGGAAGGGAGGAAGGGATGGAGGGGAAAAGGAGGAAAGAAGAGAAAGACAGGGAGGGAGGAGCTGAGCTAACTTTTTGAGCGTGAAACTGAAACCATCGACCTCTGCACGCCTCGTGCAAACTCCGGTTCTGTAAAGGCACCCAACGCAAACACAGCTCGCGGGAACAGCGCTCCAGAAACCCTATCAGAAGGGAAACCACCACTCTTTGCGGGCGCGGGCCGACTCGCGAGGGGTGGGGGAAGGACGGGGGTGAGGGGGGCGGTGGCAAAGCCCCTCCGTTCCTCCAGCTAGTTCGGGACAGGCTCCCTCCTTCCGGCTCCAAGGTGGCCCTGAGGCTGCCCGGGGAATTCAAGAGACCGGTGCGTGGCTGGCACAGCCGGGCAGCCGTAGCCCACAGCGGGCAGCGAATTCCAAGAGGCTGCGGGCGGGGCGTGCACAGCGACCCGGGCCCAGGGCGGAGGGTGGGCTTTCTCTGGGCGGGGAAACCAGACACTTACAGGCGGCTGAGGCCGACTTTATTTTTACTGCCCAAACTGTTGGAAAGTATTTAAGCTTAAACAGAAACAGCTGTATCGCTGGCACCGGCCAACGAAACTATTTGTTACCGGGAATGACTTTTTATGATTAAGGACCCGGCCGTCGGCGGCCTCTCGCGGGCAGCCCGTGCGGGTCGCCAGGGCTATCTAGGCGTCGCCAACTCGCTGTTCGTTAAGACCGAACGGCCAGAGAGATGAGACTGTTCACCCAGAGCTCACCTTGTAAAGTTTGAGCAAGGCCAAAATCTGGACCCCCGCCCCGTTTCCAAGGGTGGGGGCGGGGAGTGCGGGAGTGGGAGGGTAAGAGTGGGGGCGAGAATCTCCCGTCCCGCGCACCCAGGACCTCGCCGCACCCGTCGCGCACCTAACTTTGGACAGGAGGCCAGTTTTCCGCTCTGGGCTTCCTGCCCTTTCGAGTCAGACTCCTTGGCTCGCCTTTCCTCCTTTCTCTTGTTCTTTTTTTTCCTCTCTTTCTTCCACCACATCCCTCGCCAAGGGAAACTGCTTCCAGTCTTATCACCGATGTTTTAACTAAATCGTGGGTTCCGAGGAGTGGGTGCTGTTACTTGCAGCTTGGGCGGTAAGAGAAAAAGGTCGGGGATTGCTGGGCCCAGACTAGGGCTCCTGTCTTTGTCGCTGCCACCCCAGCCACGGGTCACCGCGAGCTGAGCAGGAGCGTGCAGTTTGCGTGTGTGGAAACGTCAGGCACGCGGGACCCGGTCCTCGCCCCCTTTCCTGGACCCCGCCACCTTCGTCCCTCTTCGTCAACCTTCAGTGGACACTGTGAGGCTCCCCGGGTTTTCTCGCAGTGTCTGCCACGCGCATTGGGACAAGCTACCAACAGGAAGAGTGAGGCACAGGCCCAGTGGGCTGCCCGGGTACGGGTGAAGCAGGGAACACCCCCAGTCGCGCTCCCCAACCCCAGCCAAGCTCCAGACTCTGCTTTGATGGTCGTCCATGCCCTCCCCAACATACCCCGGCCTGGGGCAAGGAGCGGCTGGGCTGGGGCTAGCGACACTTGGGGCCAGGGACTGGCGTGGAACAGCAACGCGGGCTGGCGGCAGGGGCAGGTGGCTGCGGGTGTCGGGGACAGGTCGGGGAGGGGACAGGAAGAAGGCGCGCGAACTCCCCCACTGGATCCTGGGGTGCGGGAAGACTCGGGCGGCAACGGCGGGCCGCCACTGGGTCTGCATTCGGCCTCCAAGCTGGGGGCGAGCGCTCGAGCCCAGCCCGGCTCGCAGGGCCCGGAGGGTGGCCGAGGGCAGGGTTGCGCGACCGGAGAAGGAGACACAGGCACATTGATTTGTTAGCGGGATGGGGCTGGCGGCAGCGGGGGCAGGCCGTTGCCATGGAGACCGAGGGTCGGGTGTGCAAGCCGGGGGGAGGGGGCCGGGTGGGAAAGCTGGCGAGGGGCGCGTCGCCTGCATTAGGGGGTTCGGGCGCGGCCCGCGGCGCCCCAGCACCTGTGCATTGTGCATTGTGCGGCGCGGGCGGCGGCGGGGGGGAGGGAACAGGGTGGGAAAGCTGACGAGGGGCGCGTCGCCTGCATTGGGTTGGGGGTCGCCAAAGGGGCGGGGCCTGGCTGACACCACCGCCAGGGTCCCAGCGAGAGCTGTGGGGGACGCTGAGCACCGGGGGGACATTTTGGCGGCGGGGGAGGGGGCCCCGGCGGGGACCGAGGGTGGACGGCCCCCCTGCCAGCCCGACAGACTGACAGCGGCCGAGCCCGCCTCCACGCTACGCAACTTCCGGCGGTGGCCCCACCCCCCTCGCTCTAAGTCTCCAGTGCGCCTCGGACTCCGCCCCCTGGCGATTGGAACGCAGGTCACGTAGCAACGCGGGGGAGAAAGCGAGAGGGGCGTGGCCCGGAGTTCGCCCAATCAGAGCTCGGGAGAGCTGGCTCTGGCCGCTCGGCTTTAGCAACGTCGTTAGCAACACGTGGGGCGGGAGGAAGCGCGGGGCGAGCGGGGAGGAGGGAGCTGCGCGAAGGGGGGGGCGGGGAGGGAGCGAGCGCGCGGGAGGGGGAGGAGAACTGACGTCAGCGGGAGAGTATTATGGTCTGTCGTGCGCTGGCTGCTGCTTTTCTGCTCCTGGAAGCGGCCAAGGGGGGAAGCGCCGAGTCAACATGGAGCTTTCAGCGGTGGGGGAGCGGGTGTTCGCGGCCGAAGCCCTCCTGAAGCGGCGCATCCGGAAAGTAGGTGCCCCCGGGCCTTGGGCCGAGCCCTCCCCTCCCGGCCCGGGTTCCCTCCCCCTGCTGCAACCCAGCTTCCCTTCCCCCAGGTCCCAGCAGCGGCCGCGGCCGTGGCGGCGGCTCTGAGCCCAAGCGCTTTCCTTAGACTTGCAGCGATGCACAGATTGCATGGGTGGGGGGCGGGGTGGGGGGAATGAATGCCGGTGCATGCACTATGTGCAGCGTTTCGTGCAGGGGGTGATGCAGCGGGCGCGTGCCTTTCGCGGTGGGATTTAGCACATTCATTCGGTGCATGCATTTTTTGCATGTATTTCTCGTGTCCCCGTCATGCATTTTTCCCCGTGCACACACAATTTCCTTTTTGCATCTTCAGGGACGCATGGAATACCTCGTGAAATGGAAGGGCTGGTCGCAGAAGTAAGTAGGTTCTGTGCAATTCTCAACCCCAGACTGTTATTCCGGAGCTTTCTTTCTTCCTCTTTTTCCCTTTACATTGAAATACAATACAATGCAACAAGAAAAGTTACAGACATACACATACACACCCGCGGTTCTTTCTCTGCTCCCTGGACTGATGCCCACTTCTTCCTGATTTCCTTTAGGTACAGTACATGGGAACCCGAAGAAAACATCCTGGATGCTCGCCTGCTCGCAGCCTTTGAGGAAAGGTACAGGCCCTTCCAGGCTTCAGCTTCTCACTTAGAAACACGAAGGGTGGCTCCTGTCCAGCCTCAACTGGAGGCGCACTTGGTTTCTTCACTCACGCACCCCCTTTCCCCCTCCTTCCTTTCTGCAGGGAGCGAGAGATGGAGCTGTATGGCCCAAAAAAACGAGGACCCAAACCCAAAACCTTCCTGCTCAAGGTAGGGTGACAATGTCCAATGGTGGGCAGCAGTGTTCTGTGTCAGTTTGTGGGAAGCAGGCCATGAGGGGTTATGAACCAATGGGGTGTGCTGTTTGTAATCCAGGAGGGAGTCCCTAGACAGGCTGTCACCAAGTCACTTCACCGCTAAGGGTATCTGAGAGGAGGGGCTTAGCCAAATTAGAATTCCTTTATCAGACCCCCTCAACCATTTCAAATAGACATAATCAAATATAAGAAGGGTGCTTGGTACAAATGACTGCTTCCAGACAAGTCTTCTACCCCTTTGCTTCCAGACAAAGTGCTACCCCTACGCTTCACCCCTACCCATTATGGGAATTCCAAGGCATCAGAGGGTGACCCTGGGAGGCTGGGGCTGGAAGAGGGGTCGGGGAGGTGGGGGCGGGGCAAGGGCCCTGTTCGGTTCTTGACACTACCCTCTTTTCTTGAAGGCCCAGGCCAAGGCAAAGGCCAAAACATATGAGTTCCGAAGTGACTCGGCCAGAGGCATTCGGATCCCTTACCCGGGCCGCTCACCCCAAGAACTGGCCTCTACTTCTCGGTCCCGTGAGGGCCTTCGGAACATGGGTCTTTCCCCACCGGGAAGCAGCAGCAGCACCAGCAGCACCTGCCGAGTGGAGCCCCCTCGGGACCGCGAGCGCGACCGGGAGCGAGAGAGGGAGAGGGAACGAGAGCGGGAGCGTGAACGGGGCACCAGCCGTGCAGATGACAAACCCAGCTCGCCAGGTGACAGCTCCAAGAAGCGAGGTCCAAAGCCCCGGAAAGAGCTCCTAGACCCCTCACAAAGGCCCTTGGGAGAACCCAGTGATGGCCTCGGAGATTACCTCAAGGGCAGGAAGCTGGACGATACTGCTTCCGGGGCAGGAAAGTTCCCAGCTGGCCACAGCGTGATCCAGCTGGCTCGAAGGCAGGACTCGGACCTGGCCCAGTGTGGTGTGGCCAGCCCTAGCCCCACTGAGGCCACAGGCAAGCTGGCTGTGGACACCTTTCCAGCCAGGGTCATAAAGCACAGGGCTGCCTTCCTGGAGGCCAAAGGCCAGGGCACCCTGGACCCTGGTGGCTCCCGGGTCAGGCATGGCTCAGGCACCCCCGGCTCTGTGGGGGGCTTGTATCGGGACATGGGGGCGCAAGGGGGAAGGCCCTCCCTCATCGCCAGAATCCCAGTGGCCAGAATCCTGGGGGACCCAGAGGAAGAATCCTGGAGCCCTTCTCTGACCAACTTGGAGAAGGTGGTGGTCACCGACGTGACCTCAAACTTTTTGACCGTCACCATTAAGGAAAGTAACACGGACCAAGGGTTTTTTAAAGAGAAAAGATGAATATCTGGGTGGGTGATCCCAAGACCAGGGAGCAGGAGAGAGAGTGAGAGTGCAAACTTGGCATAATGCTTTTTATTTCTGGGTGGGGAGGCGGCCTTCTGGCTGGCCCTGTCCGGTCCCTACCTTCACACAACCCATTTCCTTTCATCCCTCCCCCTCAGTTTTGGTTGGAAAGATTATCTCTAGAGTTATATTTTCTATTAGATGTAAATATGTTATTTAAGAAAAATATCTAAATATATATATTTCAACTCTTGAAGTTGTTTTATTTAAACAAGGAGAGAGAGACTCTGTGGTTTAGTTGGGGAAGACAGGCTGAGTTGGGGCAGGAGGGGGTTGACAGCCACCCAGGGCAGTAGGGAGGATGAAGACCTGGGCACTTGGCCTCTGATGGTGTCTGGAGGGACTCAGCCAGCCCACCTCACCCCTCCTCTTTCCCACAGCCCCAGGGCAGACCCCTGGAACCAAGGCAGGACCCGGATTTTTTTCTCTCTTCCCATTGGTTGACCAGGCCAACTAAAGATTGGCTCCCCAATCAGAAAGGGAGGAGGTGGGGTCAGTCTTTTTCCTTTTCCTATTTTTTTTTTTTTTTTGGTATGTTTTAAGATTAAGAAATCTGTTGGGGGAAAAGCGAAGTATTAACTGGAGTAATTTTTGTGTGTGTGAAGTTGAAGGTAAAAAGTTGCGGGTGGGTGGGGAGCAGCAGAGTCCCCCCAGGACCACACCAGGAAAAGCACTTTACGGGAGATGTGTGTGTTGTACACGCAGATCGGATCGTAGGTATGTCATGTGGACAAAAATCTCCCAGTTCCCTCGATTCCTTTCCTTACTCCACAGAAAGAAAAGAAATCCAGCGAATCTGTTTACATTCCCGAAATGCCAGGATAAATTGGGAGGATTGCATGTCTGTGCCCAGAGTTCGAGACAGTTGCTGTTTTACGAGAGAAGTGTTCGGGGGTGGACTTTTCTTATTCGCGTCTTCTAGCTTCGCCAGGAGAGACGGTGACCCCCACCTCCCAAGAAGAGTTGGACTAGTCCCCTTCCCTCGGGGAGGGCGGGCCGCCAGCTCTCGGGAGAACGCTGGGCTGGACAGGCCCACCCCGGGGGACCCACAGGGGTAGGGGGCTGCTGGGAGCGGGGGCTTCGCACCCAGGCCCTGGTCGCAACTCGGCTGGGAGTGCGGTGGAGGTCTGGGCTCCTACTCGGAGCTAGGCAGGACTGGCACCCCGGCGGCTTTGGCGGGGCGAGGGAAGGAGGGGGCGAGGGGAGGTTTCCATCCAAGAAAGCGCATCAGAACTTTTCCTTTTTTCTTTTTTTCCCCCCCTTTCTTAAAAGCAAAAGCTATAATTTATAGGCCTTTTCGATTCGCGGAGTGTTCTCTATTTGAACTCGACATTCAAACTCCGCCAGAGGGGGAGGGAGGAGCGGGAGTTGGAGAAGAGACGGCCGGCGCGGCTGGGGAGGCCTGCGCTCGGCGGCGGGTCCCGGGACGCCCCCGCCCCGGTCGACTCGTGACCACGCTGTGTTCCAAGGACGCAGGACGCGCGCCCCTCTTTTGACTCAAAAGCACAAATCTGCCCCCCTCACATCCCGGCCCCTTCGAGGACTGGTCCTGCGGCCTCCTCGCCCTCCCCCACCCTTAAAGGGCCAGAGGGAATCTAACTTCCCATTGCTAGTGGAGGGAGGGGCGAGGGGGCCCGGCGCTTTGGGAGGAAGCACAGACTCCCGGCGAGACAGGCGGGGAGCCGGGACTGAGGGGGAAACTTCTCGATCCTGGGGGGACTGGGCGGGGACCCCTGCCTGGTTTCTCTTCCGCACTCCCATATTCCCACTCCCTCTTCGCAACCTCTCTCTCCTCCAGACTTTCTTGCCTTTGAAGTGAGGGGATAAAAAAGAGGAAGACGGAGTACATGATTTTTCTTATCATTGCGCCTATAAAAAGCCCGTGGAATAGGGATTTTTATCTGCTCACATTTGTAAAACTGGTATTTTAGACTTTGTATGAAGAAGCGCCGTTGACCAAGTGTATCTATTTAAATATCGACGCTATTTTCAGATGAAACTTCATTGAAGGGACATGTCTGTTACCGAGTGGACGGTCACTCCAGGACCCACGTCTTTACCTGGCTGCTGCCTTCCCTCCCTCCTTTCCTGCCTTCACCCTCATCTCCCTCCCTGCCTTCACCCTCACCTCCCTCCCTTGGGGCTGACTTTGCCCCTGCCTTCCGACCTTCCTTCCCCGGCCAGCCTGGTTCTGCCCGACCGCCTATCTGTCCTGTTGTCTGTCCGTGGCCGTCCGCGTGTCTCCTTTGCTCGCTCTTGCGACGCTGACCTGGGGGTGGGTGGGGCAGGGCAGGGCAGGGGCCGCGGGGCTGGGCGTCTGCAACCGCGTGAGATGTGCGGGTGTTGGGTTTATTTAATTCTAAGATTTGTACAAATCTCGAATCGATCTCCGCCTCAGCTCGAGTGAAGCTTGGCACGTATCTTCTGCGGTTGTGAATGTCTGTATCCAATACCGCTTTTTACGTGTTTAAATACATACTTTGTAAATAGAGACGTGTCTCGGGTTTTGTTCCTTTTTTCCGGCCCTCAAGGAGAGGGAACAGGCACCCCGGGAGGAAAGGACCCTTCCCTCCTCGTTCATGACCCATTCCACCCGCCTCTCTCGCCCCTATCGGCCCTGGACAATTCTGTTTCCAGTAGGCCATTCCCCAGCTGGGGGGATGCCAATCCGGCGGGGCAGAAGAGTAGGGTTGGGAGGGAGCGGTAAGTGACTCTTAGCCTTCTAAGGGGGAAGGTCCTGGCTTTCCTCACCTACAGACTGCACTTCTCTGCGGTCTGGGCAGAACTCGGGGATACAGGGGAAATGGGCGCGACCTCCGGGTTCCCATTTCTCCTGGCGGGACTCCCCCGGCGCACCCCACCCCCAGGCCTGATGTCCTGGTCCCTGACGCCCCGCGCCTTGGCGCTGGGCTGCTCAGGCTTCCCCGCATGCTCACCAGTGCTGTCCTGGGACCCGCCCCCCAGATCCACCTAGCCTTGCCAGCGCTCCCCGAATTGCAGCGCCTTGCGCCTATTGATTGAGGAATTGAGTTCGCGGGTATTGCTAGGCAACTGGCTGCTCCGAGCCGGCGCAGAGCTCGCTGATGTGATTAGTGAACCCGGAGCTGCCGAGGCGCAGCCCCGCGCCCCCTGCCCCCGCCAACCACCCCCCCCCCCACAAGCTTCTCAGTCCCTGGTCTGGGCGGGGGCAACACCTCCAACGCTGGGAGAGAAATGGTTCGGGGTAGCGCAGAGCACAGGGTGGGGTGGGGGTTCCTTAGATTTTCCTGGCCGGAGACTTTGCAGCAATGGGGTGGGGTCATGAAGCCTGCACAGGAGAGCTGCCCTGGGGACCCCAAAGGGGTCACCGCACTGAGCGCAGTTTCACCCCCGAGATCTAGCAGACGTCACCACCAGGAGAAGCGCAAATCTAGGCACACTTGGCAGAACCGGAAGGGAGGGGTGTGGGCACGAGTAGGCTGGTGCATCTCCTACTCTTGCCCATTGAGTCGGTGACCGCGCGTCTGGCGGAGCTCTCCCGCCTTCTTCCTTTAGTCTGCGGCCTGTATGTGGACCTGGGAGGGATGGAGCGGTCAGGTACCTGGTCTTGGGGCCATGGATCAGCCTTCCGACGTGAGGGGCTGAGCCACCGGCAGAGTCAGAGGGCCGGGAGTGGAGTGCAGTGGCTTGGGGAGGGTCGCAGCGGGTGGCCAAGCTGTTGCCCCGTCTCTCCACGAGACTGTCTCCCGCATTGGGCAGCCGAGTGGGCTCCTGCTTTGGGAGACAGGGAGATGGGAGGGCACCGACTCTGCCCCCTTTCCCCGGCTGTCTGGCCACCATCAGCCTTGGCCTTGATCTGGTGCTTCTCTGGCCGGTTTTGTGGGCAGATGCTCTGGGAAAGACACCAGGTGTGGAGGCCTGGGCCTGTGATGCTGCCTGGGGCAGAGGCATTCCTCTGCCTCCGAAGGGCAGGGCCATCTAGTGCTGCCATAGCCAGCAGGGAGCTTGGCCCAGCACACACACTGGTAGAACTGGAATTTTTATGGCTCTTTGGAGAGAGAGCATTGGGTTGGTGTTTTTTTGTTTTTTTTTTTTCGGTCCCCTCTTTGATGCTTAACTGTACAGATCCCAGTCGAGGACCCGGGCTGTGTGCGGGAGACTCAATAGTGAACAGGCCTGCCCCAGGACTTGGGGGTAGGGGGGCTCATATTCTTTCCCCCTCTTCTCACCCCAGAATCCCCCAGGGTCAGAGGGTGCCTGGAATCCAACTGGGGTTCGAGTTGGGGGCGTCTCAGTGCTTGATCGGGCTCTACCTCCAGCCTTCGGAGTCTGGACAGGAGGAAATAGGATTGGGGCCGGGGCTTACTTCCTGAAACTTTGGAGACTTTTGGGGGTGTGTGTGTGTGTGTGTTTCAGAGCAATTGTGTGGCGGATCGTGCAATTCGGTTCCCTTTGGCAGCTCGGAACCGGGGGTGGGGAATATTCCTCGCGCGTCCAAAGCGCCAGCGGCCCGATCTTCGCGGGTCGCGCGCGCCCTCTAGAGGCGATGGCCTCAACCCCGCTCACTGGCGCCCACCCACTCCCGGAGGCGATGCCTTTCTGGGTCGCCAGGGGAGCAGGGAACGCCTCGTCTCTCCATCCCAAAAGTACTCTAGAGTGGGCCACTGTGGGCGCCCCCTCCGCGACCTCCCTTCGGCCAGGCCCTCCAGCCACAAAGGTAGGGAAGAAGGAGGTGTCCAGCGGCCGGATCCGCCAGGGACCCTCGTGCTGGATCCAGCGGCGCGGGGCTGAGCCCCAGGGAGGCCGCGGGCCGGGCCCTCGGGCCGGGTCGGGCCCCTTGGCAGCCCAGCCCATTCTTCTGGGAAGGCGGTGGATTAGGCGATCAGATCAGCAGCGCAGAAACTAACAAAGGCCAGTGTGGGTCAGGGCCCCCCCTACACGTCTGGCTGTCGCTCTGTACAAATGGGCTCGCGGGAGCCGCGCGGGTTGTTACTCTTCTAAGCTTGCTTTTTCCTGGACATCCCCAATCCCTTCTGCTGCCCTCAAAAGCCAGAGGACAGGACGGCTAGGGTCGTCCCTGCCCACCTTCTCCAAAAGAAAACAACGCCAGCCTCCGAAGGCACAACAAAAGAAAACACGCCAGTCGCCTTCCCCGCAAGAACGATTTCAAATTCGCAGGCCTTTTCTGGAGCCGGCCAGAGCCCTGGGAAGAAGCATTTTTGTAGTGGGAATCTCTTCCAGAACTAAAACATTCAGGCCTTCGCCCCAGCTAGCCTTTCAACCAGTGGTGGCCAACATCCAGGCCCAACTTCTTCTCTTTACTTCAAAGGGAGCTTCCTTCTCCCTGGAGGCTGAGATTTATGAATAAATTCATGCTGAGGGTAATGCAAACCTTAAAGGACCAAGGAAGGTTATATAATAAGCAAATCGTCTCTTTATTATGAGCCATGGGTTAGGAGTCACAGAAGAACCACTGATTCAAAGCTTCTTGTGCTTCATGGCTACTCCCCTGAATTTTATAGCTGTGTCCTTTTAAAGTGTTACCACATGTGGTGAATTCAAGGGGTTGAGTAGCTTTCCAACACAGGATCATTTGGATACTGGGGGTGGGGTGTGCACATGCACATGTGGAAATTTTGGTTTGTTTTTAAGTATTAGTTTCTGGGAGATGTCTTAAAGTGAGTTTGACTTGTGACATACTGCAGCATCCTTGGCCTCTATCTACTAGATGCCAGTAGCAATAAGCACTCACCCCTGCGCCCCAGTTGTGACAACCACAATCGTCTCAACATTGCCAAATGTCCCCTTCAGTGTCCAATTGCCCTCTCTGGGAAATTCTGGTGTAGAGACTCATAATCAAACCCACCCCTTTGCTTAGAAAAACATTTTTTTGACCCCATTTGAGTGGCTGAGACTTTTGCAAAGCCCTTAATTTTTTCACCCCATGATTCAAGTATTTTGCCTCAAGAAAGGTAAAGTGAAGAGACTGCTGTTTCACTCATGACACACACCAAGCTGAAAAGTTAACAATTTATTGATATACTAAGAGTTAACA